GATCATTACTCTATTTTCTCTCAGTTCCTCACAAAATGATAATAGTCATTGGATACAATAAGAACACAAGATATATCAAATACTGAACTATAACATTAAATCTATTCCTAGATGTAGTATGTGTAGTAACGTGTGTTTACTAAAATAAACGAATTTCAGTTTCGTTGATTATTGCTCCTTTGCTCTGCTTTTTCTGTTACTATTCAACCGGTTCATTTTATAGGAAACATATTTGCGTGTATTTATTTGTTCGAGATTTGTTTGTAAATTCTCTCAATCTGCTCAATGTCTTATAATTGAAATAGTTTTTTTTTGTTTTGCACACAGTTTCATGATTTACTCCGATAAAGGTCATTAAGAGATAAATTGATTTAATTGAAGTGATTGTGCTAAAACTTTCTATATTATGAAAATACATCAATTTTTCTAATGGTAAGTTAGAGCAAGATAATCAGAAGTTTCAAAACGTGATGACAATAAAACAATTAAAATAATTTGTTCTACAGGAAAATTTAATGATAGGACGTTCAATTGGGTCACATTTTAGAAATTCAATTGTACTTTATCTGTATGTATCTTTATTATTGTTTTCGGTACCACAATAAGAGATGGCGTGGCGTAATGAAATTAAGCCAAGTTGTTAAGTTGATAATAAAATTAAGTTAGAGTAGCGTAATAAAAGATTGAAGAAACATTACAGAATCGTATAGAACTATGAACATTTTAAAAGCGATAGCATTTTGTGAAGAGTTTTAACACTTTGCCATGAAACCTTTTTACATTTTGTGATATTGATCTTTAGTGTTTCTTACAAATGAAGGTATTCTTCAATAATGATGTTATAATATGTAGTAAAATTTGTATAAAATTATTCAAATCAAAAACAGGTTTGATACTTTTTGAAGTCTTTGTCTCAAGTTCTAGTAAATATAGTTATTGACTTTTATATGCTTGAAATATGAGTATATTTCCACTAATCTTTAATTAATTTAATTTAGTATTTCATAAACATATTTCTGATTTCGTTAGAAAATCTTTTAACAATTTGGATACTTAAACCGATTCACAACTAACTTCAATATATGCCACAGTAATGATTTTGACAAATACATATAAACGACTGAGGAATATATGAAAATTCTAACAATTTAAAACTTTTCTCCGGCATCAATAGTTTGCAAAAGATACCGTTGCTTCTCATACATAGTTCTTGTATAGGTGGAGCAGCTTGGGAACAATTTACCTCCGGCAGTACGAATTCCCTTTCTCTTCTTCATATACGATTACCTTTGCCTGTTACTGCATATAGATTACTTATTCTGTTAAAAAAATAAACAATATTTGCAAAAGAAAGCGTTTAGAAGCAATATATTAGTATTACGAAATTTTCAACATACTTTAGTATATTCTACTTCAATAGTTAACACTTCCATTTAAAATTGAAAAAACAACTTTACGGAGATATGTATATGTATATATGTATAGCTATAACATGCACAATTTTTCAAATCGAATGTGTTTGCCCTTACATTAAAGAAACGTGTTATTTTATGGATTGAAAGATAGACTTAGGGACCAATTGATACTCACGAGCTGTCAAATAGCTATGTAGTACTTGCTGTGCGATCAGGCGTTTTACATACTTATGAAACCTAACCTCCGAAACACATAATTGTCAGATAACAATATTATCATAAGTACAACTTTCTGTTGTCTCTTTGATAACACATACGTTTTATGTGTTATACGTCTGATTGCACAGCAAAGACAAAGTTTTTTGGCACTTTGTGAGTACCTACTCATACGATTATAGAGACGCGTAACATAGCTTTACCCTAACATTTTTATTTTATTCAAGAATGGCCCCTAAGTATTGTTTTTTTGCTGTGATCCTCATTCATCAAGTTATTGGTATCGAATTTCTATATATATTAATACTTCAACATTTACTAATTGTCAGCCATAAAAAACTTTCAATGTATATTTTGATAATATTAAAATTAAGTATTGTGAAAATAATAACAAGCTTTTCGATGTCCTTAAATATTGTGAAAAAAGGTTATTGAACGGCCTGTCATATTCATGATTCACAATTCTAATCAGTAAAATATTTACTAAATCTATTATTAACTTTCCGTAGAATAAGTTATAGTAATCGCAAAAAATCGAAAATGAAATTTTTTGCATAACTTCACGTTTTGAAGGTTTTTGAACATGTTGGCATACCTTAGCAAAAATGGGTGTACGTATGTGTGTGTGTGTGTGTGTTTGGATACAATTTTTCGTCCACATTTCGGGTGCACGAATCAATCGATTTGAATGATTCAAAAAACATTCGATTCCTACTGACGAGAAGACCTGTTGATTAGTTTTTGTTGGAGACAGTCCCAGCCGTTTCGAAGATACAGAGGAAAACCTAAAAAAATGATATTTGGCGGTCAAAAACGATCATTAGACATATGCACATCAAATCATCAGATATTTAATCAATTTTTTTAAAGTGCTTATTTTGTATCAATTTTGTTGGGAACCTTACCAAGATTGTTAATTTTTAAAGTTTACTTGTTCAAGCAAATTTCGAAAATTTTCAGAAATTTTTTTTTTCGTTTCCATTTTCAAAATATACAAAGTTTTATGCTTCAAATATGAATTTTAAATTCACATTTTAGTTTGAAAATGTTATATTTCAAATGCGTTATTCTAATCGTAAGAAATATATCCTCAGATGGATTCATTCGGCACCTTTTGCTAATGTAAACTTTAAGTGTTTTGAGCGATAAGATCGTCACGGTATATTTTATGAACGATAAAATATATAGTGATTATAATTATCTATTTGAAAATGTTTAAAACAATTGTTATTGATAATCGATCAATATTTATTTAATACTGTTTTTTCCCTCGAATATTTAATTCTGGTACGGGAAGTTTCAGCAATTTGCCTTAAGGCACGATGCCATGTACCACTAGTTATATATTTGAATTATCAAGCTATAAAATAAACTTTTGGCTATATATACCAATTAGCTTTTGGCAGTTTTAGAGGACTCGAGTTGGTTGCTTAGGATATTAATTGCAATAGACCAGGATTGTGAAAAACTGTCATTGACAGTCGGTTGACTGATGCTTCACGTCGCTACTAAACATATTCTTTTCCATTAGAATATGTATCGTTTGTTGAGAAAACACTCTTGGCAGCGAAATCTGGGCAATACTGATATCTGCTGAATCTCACTCATCGGTATGCGCCTGATACTTTCCCCGTGAGCTAAGTCGATGTGGTTTCGTGGTTTATTAGTGATAACGGTAATATGTAGGTACTGCATTTCCAAGCATCGCGGGATCATTCGTACGCGGTACGAATCATAAAACGACCATGAAATCTATCTTATGTATCTACTCATATAAGCGATTTTTATTAGATACTAATACCACTAATACTGTTCCAATTTTGTACTAAAAATTCAGTTTGACTCTTCATCGAACTGAGAATTTGAATAATTTGAACTTCTTTCAATAATATCTGTAATTACACTAGTCGTTTAGCATTATTATTTATTACTTTTTTATATTTTTGTGGTTGCTGGATATTTCATTATTACATTTTTAATGCAAAATGAACAATGATTTATTTTTTTCTAATCATTTTATAATGTTCATCTATTGTAGTTACAAGGTAGAGTGGTGCTTAAAGGTACACGGGTGAAAAGGTCTACTACCGTTATCTCAAAAACTAGTAAAATTAGGAATATTTTAGCAACAATATTTGAAAGTAGAGGGAAAGTCGAGAGATAAATGGCAATGTTAGAAAATCCATTACGATAAACGGAAATCCATAACAAAAGTTTTTTCGTTGTTAGTTTTTTCGGTTGTGAGCACTGTTGTTTAGTTTACGAGACCTTAATATATAACTTTTAAGTGTACGTCATTTAGTTGTTTTATAAGATGTTTAGTTAATTTTAAATTAGATTCAACTGTTTTTTATATAACCTCTATAAAATCATATACGTGGGTGGGGTAAAATGGACCATCTTAACCTCTACCCTGGCAAAGGTGTAAACAATAAAAAATAGTAAATATAAAAATAAATCGAGTTAAAAAATAACAATTCTGCAAAAGATAAATTAACTAGTTATTTCAACTCTGCTGACGATTATTTTTGACGAAATATCAGATCAAGGTTATATACAGTGTTGTACATACAAATGTACCCATGAAATTATTATTTATTGCATTGGTCGATTATTTTAGCCATTAGTTCGTAAAATCCCTTTAAAATTAAAAATAAGACATTGGATCTGTTTGCCCCATGGCCGTCTTATTATACGCGCCTATGGGGTAAAACGGACCAGGTGACAAATTTTTGAAAAACTTTAAAAACACACATTTCTACAATGATGAAGTAGCTGGGTTTTACTGAACACAGTCAGATATTTGTTTGTTTGATATGTGTTATTTCTTATGATATAATTGGTTTGGTTTTCACATTATAATTACTCAAAGTCAAATTCAAACCTTTGAGCCCCGCCCTATTCTATTTCAATTTCATTTTTATATCATTGCCGTTTTGCCTCTGATTATAATAGCTATTTCATTTTCATACTAAAATCTTAATTTTGAAGCACTAATTGGCGCAGCACATTACTCATTTGCAACTAAAACGTTTCAGTTTTTCAAATGTTTTTTTCCTTGACAAAATACGTATGTAGTATCTCGAAATATACATATGCAATAATTATCTTATATTGTTAATGATCAAGATTTGCTCATGGAATAAAAATACTTATAATTAGTTGATAGATAAATTGACAAAATAGAAATAGATGACAATTAGTTATTTATTTACAGCTAAATTGTGATTGAAATTTTTAGGGTCTAATGACTCTATAACACCTAATTGGCAAATCTCTATAATATTTTTGATTCGACAAGTTTCAGCACTTGTACTAAATTGTGCTTATTGTCGATGTGAAATTAATAATGTGTATATTATTTTTCAGCAATCTTGCTCTACAGGGTGTGTCGTTGCTGCCGACGTATCTACGTGAAACTTCTGCACACCGTGTTCCATGCCCTGGCCATTCCTTGCGTAGTCGTGGGCTTCTTGGCTGTCCTGGACTCCCATAACCTGGCCACGCCACCATTACCGAACTTCTACAGTCTGCACAGTTGGCTTGGATGCGTAACCATGGGTCTATTCGGCATTCAAGTAAGTACCTAATTACTAGATAACTACAACCATGCTAAAGCCCGCCTAAATGTTGGATATACTTAACTTATTGCTTCAATATGTATATTTCCGAAAATAGTGCTACTGAGTGTTGAAATTGATTTCTATAAATGTTTGTCTTAATTAAAATTTTTGAAACTTTTTATTTAATAAATAATTATTATATAAATAGAGTTAGTTAACATAAAATCCATTAACCCTAGAATGGTATTGTGCTTAAGAAGTGATTTTTTCGTCTTTTGTAATGGTATACTTTGTGATATCATCAAATCTATCTTGTGATATCATTAAATATAAAACTCTAGTTTAGTAACAAATAGTTTTTTTATTTTTTCAAAATTTTAATAACAAAAGTACCACCACCATTCATTCTTGTCTGCATATATGCCTCGGAGGCGTGCAGATACCATTCTAGGGTTAAATGATTCGAAAAAAAAATTAATAAATAAAATCTTATCTATTTCAAAACTTTATTTGGATAATTTGAGTTTTCCGAAAATGGTGATTTTTTTATAAATGTATAAAATCTGTTAATATATTTAAAATATTATTTATTTATTAAATCAAGCCTTAGGTACTTAATAACTAACATCATCATGAATGGTCGAATAAAAATTAATTGTGTTACTTGACTAGTTTCGTCAGTGATGCAATTTCAGTAAGTTCTGAAAAATGATGAAAAAAACTGCTGATATTTGGTGATCAGAAGGGATTATGGAGCATATTTCTGACTATATATATAAGATTTTGATCAGACATTTTCTTATTTTTTCTTCAAGGCGTTCACGATCAGTAAAAGTTTCAGCAAGGTACAAAGATTGACAGTCATTTTATTTTTAAATTGGTTGTGACATCCGAAATTTGATCAAACACCGTTTATAAAGGTAGTCAGATTATCATATTTTGTTCATCGTTACACGATGAATGTTATGGTATCCACGTCAAGTATTACGCTTCAACTACGCAATGTGCTTGCTCAATGACTACAGCGAATTTATGACTACGGGAAAATCTAAGATAATACGAAAATACTCAAAGAATCAGTTAATTATACCTCGACAGGTATAATAATTACAAAACGTAAGGTTATATAAAATTAAATTCAAAATAATTGAGTTTAAACATTTTAATTCTGTATCACATTGTATATGAATGTCATAGCATCCACGTCCCTGAACGTGTTAATTTTCAAATGATTTGCCAGATTGTCATGACTATTGAACTTGAACTTGGGATAGATTGCCCAATGAAGATAATGAGTGAATCTTTGATTACAAAGAATCTCAAACAATTTAACAACTTTAAAACAGAATGATATCCTTATCAGCATGTCATAGCATTCTGTTTGGATCTTTAATGTAAAATTGATTAAGATGTGATAAGTCATTACTACGTGCAGTTTATCACAAAGCTGTGATTTTGATTCATTACAAGTAATTTAGTGATTTTGATTGATTTACAGCAGTGACGACGCCTTTTTGACATTCGTTCGCAAATGACAATATTTATATTGATGATTTGTAGCTTTTGATTTCCCGTTACATTGAAATGCCTTTGATTACATGCACATGCAAGTGCATGCAGAAAATAATTGATTTATGCTTTGATTTTTTTATATAATGGTTTTTTATGTTGAATTTTAAGAAAATGTTGAATAATTTTGGAAACTTAAATATTAAAACTAAAAAAAAAAAAAAAATTTTTTTTTACCACAAAATAACTAACTGATTTGGGAAGATTAAATTATAGATATTTTTTTAGATTTACTAGTTTTTGCAATAAATTAAGCTAAGTTCAAAATCTGCGAAATATAGGAGTAAATTGTTACCGTTATTAACTGTTAATGATGTGTTAGAACCCAAAGTAAGTTAAATGAATTTCGAATATTATAAAATTAAAGGATTTGTGTGCACATGTCATTTTTTCATTTTTGGCAAGGATTTGAAGTAGTAGTAGTACCTACTATCTTCTTGAGTAGTAAGACTATGCCTCGAGTTCTATATACTTATATATTGAATATTGAAACACAATTCTGATGCGTAAAGCATTTTGCTAAAATGCATCACTTATGTATAATTTTCATAACTCTTATACCATGTTGAATAATATAAATGGGGTAATTAATTCAATGTCAATCTGTTTATTACCTTGGAAACCAGATGTGTAGTATTGCATTCCAAAGTTTAAATTTTAACGAATAGTCTCAATCATAGAAAGTTAAGTCGGATGTAGAAAATAATACCATAAATGTGTTCGTGTCATCGTAAAAAAATTGGAACGTTCTAAAGAGTTTTATTATGTCAAGTTTTATAGTCGAATGCGTTTTTTGAATTTGAATTGGGTCATGCATCTTTGACACACTTAGATTTTTAACACCTGAACTTATTTAGCGCGAGCACGTGTAGTATAATAGAAGTGCATTATACTCTCATCACTGTTATATGAAAGTTTCTTGAATGCGATGCTCACTATGTCTCACCTATACTTCTAACTCGTAAGTAAACAGATGTTACAGGTTTGTTAAGCTGCTGAAGAATTAATAATGTACAATATATCACTTTCCGCAAAGTTACTTAAATTGCAAAAAGTTCGGAAATAATTTGCACATTTCCAGATATTTTGATCATTGCATGCGTGTGTAGTGTGCATGTACATGTATACTTAGATGCAATTTTTATCTACATTTTTGGAAGAGGTTATTAACTGATTTGATTGATCAAAAAAATATTCGATTTGTTTGAAACATTCAATTCTCATTTTTGTTTTTGATGAATGCAGGCAGCAGTGCTTTAACCGGCTATTTTGCAAACAAACACGACAATTTATCATATGCATTGTTCCGTAATAACACATATTACGCCATAATTATGAGGAAGACAAGACCTTGCTTCACTTTATTACTTCCGAAAACATGTTTCTCTTCTGAAACCACATATATTGCCGAAACATTACCAGTAAGTCAGAGTTGTTAGAGCTGCCAGAGTTGGTAGAATTGCTGTTACGTGAAACTAATGTCGGTTGTAGTTTAGAATTGTTAGTAAAGTGATTAGTCAACTAAACTCAATCTTTCATTTACACAAGAAGAACTACAAGGCATTAGTATTCCAGCCAATACCTCCCTAAGGACTCTGACCAAACGCTAACTACTAATTTTGGGCCATTAGATGATACCTCAAGCAGGATTCCAGTGAAGATCAGGAGTTACGACTCGATTACGACACTATCGGTATTGGAGTGTAAAACAGGAGCGACCTGTTAAAAAAAGAACGGCTTTTTGCCCGAAATTAGCCCCAATATTTCTTGTTGGCAGCGATCTAAACTTTTCAAGATTGGTCCTGTTTTCAAAGAAATTACCAATTTACATGTTGTAATTATACATACTGTTACGCTAATTAATAGGCAGTATCTCAAGATATTTTAGAATAAAATTATTTGCAAACACCTACAACTATTTATT